ATTATTAATAATAATGTCTTTTCTTATAAATAATAATTAATAATATATCTTTTCTTATTTCAGCGATCAGACACACACACACACACACACACACACACACACACACACATTGATAATATATCTATATAATAAATATCTATGTATAATATTTATTAAAATTTATTGTATTAGCGCTTGGGCCCTCCCCAGCAGCAGCAGCAGCAGCAGCAGCAGCAGCCGCCGGCGCCACCCCCCACATATCAATCGCGTGTGTAGCTAGTATACACAATACGGTATTGCCCGTGGTAACAGTGGCTGTAGCTCTAGCGGTAGAGCATCGGCCTGCGGATCCGGAGGTCGCGCGTTCGATCCCCCGATCCGTCCGTTTTTTTTTCAGATAAATCTATAAATTTAAAACACGCGCGCGCACGCACACACACACACACACACACACACACACACACGCACACACAATAAAACAATCAAAACGCGTAACACAGAACGCGCGCGTAGTGCATAGGAATCAAATCAGTGGGAGAGGGGGAAATGCAGAGAACGCACGCCACATCAGATCAAGCCACATCAGATCAACTCAGTAGGGGAGGGGGAGTGCGTAGAACGCACCGGTATACGCCACATCAGATCAACTCAGTAGGGGAGGGGGAGTGCGTAGAACGCACCGGTATAACTCAGTAGCAGGGGGGGAGGGAGGTGAGTCGACAGCGCACGGGCCGATCGGAGGGGGGGGGGGTGAACATGCACACACCTCAACTCACACGCTTCAACTCAGTGAGCTAGTACCCCTCTGAGTTGATGCTCCTCTAGTTTACCTACTCTCGTATGGTTTGCGAAGAAAGTTAGAATATATTATCTTCCATACGAAGAAAAGGACTCTAGAAAAGGTACTTGGGAGCAGATAGCACGAGAACGCGTGCGCTTCTAAACACGTATTGCTGAATTGAATAAAGTTATATTACGAGTATTATTCAAGAAACGTATACTGATGAATCGAATGCTTGGTCCTATATTAGAAAATCATGACACTATATATAAATATATATATAAAATAAAATAGAAACCTAAGTTAAAATAAAGGGAGACGTTTGTGGCGGCTCGAAAACTAAATTAATGGGGAGAGGTTTTAAAAGAGTTGCGATCCTTGAAGAGCTTCATTCTGTCTCAAGAATCGAGTAGTAGCTATTATAGCAGCAGCAGCAGTAGTGGCAGCAGCAATAGTTGTTGTAGAAGAAGGCGTAACATTCTAGAACTCTTTACCTACAGCAAGATGAGTTTTGAATTGTTGAATAACATTAGAATGAAGCTCTTCGACGTACATCCTGAAAAATGAAATCATGAATTGCATGAAGGTCAGAATTACCTAATAACATATACATGAGGCAAGATGAATCTCAAATTATTCTTGAACTCGATTGTGAGTTCGAAATTGTTCTACCGGACCGAATTTTAAGATCGATAATTAATCATTATGATCTTTTTATTGATTTATCAGAGTTCAAAAATATGCACTATTTATTCAATATCATGGATGTGAACGATTTCAATTTATTATCTGAATATATTTTTATATATTCTTATATGTCAATAAATATTATATTATATAAATTATTTTCTGGAGAGGTGAATGAGTCATTAGCGTTTCTATGAAAGCAGGTTTTGGCTTGTCTTAATTTGACTCACTAGTGACGAAGATAAAATGGAAGCATCTCACAGGTATTAGAGAAGGTTTGGGCTCTTATCCTTGAAATAAAATAAACACAATGTAATATTTATAAATGAAAATACCACTATTTAGTTCAATAATAAGCTAGATTAATATAAATTTATATTTGTAATCCATTTATTTACAGTCTCCTTATTTACCCAAGAATTATGAGTATTATCAAAGCCGAGCCATTTTACGAAGACTTCATTACTCCGTCTTCTGAGAATTTTTTTTACAAGATAGACATCAGGATACACACCTCTTTGTAGTTCTTATTCGTGAAAACTACTAACAATGAGATTTTCTTGGTAATCTAATAAGTGATATGTTACAGGTTTAGTTCTCGAAATAAGATCAATAGTAAAAATTTCTGTAGACCAACATATACCCATGTCCTTTTTTAAAAATGTGTTTACCCTTGCTCCCTCGCACTTTATTTGCTACTCGGAATTTTGGATTTTTGAAAAGACGTTGATCGCAAGAAAATCGTGTCAAGACATGCATTTCATTTTCTTTAGTCACGTCTTTAGGCTTCATATTTACCGTGCGATGTTTTCGATTATTATAAGATTGTATTAAACTCGAAAGAAAGTCAATTTACTTATAATTTCCTTGGAAACTGAGTTTATTCCGTCCTACATTCACGATGTCATTACCGTACAATAAACCATTTTTTAATTCTTGTACATCTGCTCTAAAAAAATATAATATACATGTAGTTCCGCTTATAAGTACAAAATCGAACAATATTGTAAACCTGGGCAAGGATCGTAATGACAAATATTATATTGTATATATATTATATTGTATTTCAATGCAATCAGTGCCCGGCTATTTATATAGGACAGACAAAAAGAATATTAAAACAAGGAATTAGTGGATATGAAAATACTTTTATAGAAAAATTGTTACCAATACCAAAGCACCTTGTTGACGGACACATAGTTTCAATTTTAATAATATTCGACAATAATATTAATATTAGACAAAGAGATTAATAAGAAAAAAAATACTATTAATAGACAAGAGGATGCTCAATTCTTAGCAAACAATAAAGTAGCATTTTTTAATTTATTAAATAGCTTTAATTTCTTAATAGCTTAATATGCTTATTATTAGTTCCATAGATCTTTTCAATACATTGGTTCCCTTATAATTTGGACTACATCTTTGTTTTAATAAAATAAACTTTGAGTTAAAGAATACGAGGTGTGTTCAAAAAGTAAGGTGACTTTGTATTTTTAAGAAAAAATATTTATTTATTTATCAATATTTATGTTGTCCCCTTCAAAGTAATCCCCCTCAGATACAATACACTTATGCCAACGGTTTTTCCAATCCTCAAAGCACTTCTCATAAGCACTTTTCGGTATAGCCTTGAGCTCTTCCAGCGATGCAGTCTTTATCTCTTCAATCGTTGCAAATCTCCGTCCTTTCATAGGTCTCTTTAGTTTCGGGAACAAGAAAAAGTCACATGGGGCCAAATTCGGTGAATATGGTGGCTGAGGCATGATTATGGTGTTGTTTTTGGCCAAAAAATCTCTCACAAGCAAAGATGAGTGAGCAGGGGCATTATCGTAATGCAAAAGCCATGAATTGTTTTTCAATAATTCTGGGCGTTTTCTTCGTATTGCTTCTCGCAAACGGCGTATAACTTCAAGATAATACTGTTTATTGACCGTACGTCCATAAGGTAAGAACTCCTGATGCACCACGCCATGGTAATCGAAGAAAACAGTGAGCAAAACTTTGCCATTTGATCAAACTTGGCGTGCTTTTTTCGGTCTTGGCTCATCTGGGCCCTTCCATTGAGACGATTGGACTTTGGTTTCGATATCATAACCATATACCCATGATTCGTCACCAGTTATGACCCTTTCGAGTAAATCTGGGTCGTCGTTGACGTCATTCAACAGTTCTTGAGCGATGCTCATGCGACGGTTCTTTTGGTCAAAATTTAGCAATTTCGGAACAAACTTCGCTCACACACGTCTCATGCCCAAAACGTTAGAAAAAATTTCATGGCACGAGCCAAGCGATATACCAACATCCTCAGCAACTTCTCTGATAGTGATTCAACGATTTTCTAGAACAATTTTCTTCATTGCTTGAATGTTTTCATCAGTTGTTGACGTGCTTGGGCGTCCAGAGCGAGGCTCGTCATTGACATCTTCCCGGCCATCTTGGAAGAGTTTGTACCACTTGTAAACATTTTTTTTACTCAGAACAGTTTCACCGTATGCCACCGTCAACATTTCAAGTGTTTCGGAGCACTTTATTTTATTTTTTACACAAAATTTGAGGCAAATCCTTTGATCCATATTTTTCGATAGCCGAGCACGCAAAACACTTATAACCTTTACGCCTCTCACAACCAAACGAAAAATGCTATACATTTGAAACTTGGTACAGATGTTCGGGAAGAGTGTACCAACATAACAAAATAAAAAAATCGATAATATGTGATTTTCTACGTCCCCAGACATTTTAAAACGAAGCGTAAAAAAAAGTTAAATTCCTTTATTTTTTTAATGCGCTAAAAAACCGAAAAAAAATGTTTTCTCTATTTCTTTATTTTGACTTTATTTTCGTATTCTTGAGCACAAAATGAAACTTTTTTCTCCTTGGCATTTTTTTCCAAAACGTACGTAAGTCGAAGTTATTGAGGATTGAAAAAAAAGGTTATTTTTTTACAAAAAACGCCATAACTCGGTTAAAAAACATCGGATAGAAGCTCGCGGGGGCTAATTTTAAAGGTAAAGACATTACCCTCCGAACCCCTCTGGTCGATTTGCCCTCCACCGCCTGGTTCTACATTGGCATTGATTTCAGTCGAGGTTAAAAAAATTGAAATTTTTTTAATCAGTTTTTTTACTGTAAAAAACACATATTTTCATTTTTAAGTCTCTGCACGTCTTAAATGGAAGCTTTTGCAATTACCTTTAAAATGCCCTGCTGTTTTTTGTGATACGATGATTTCCGACCGAGATACAAAACTTTCAAGTTTGCCTAATTTTGAGGTAAGCATGGCAAAAGTGATTGACGGGCAGTGTAGATACTGTTATTCACATTCATTTTAAATTTCTTATAACTTCAAGAGTCTGACTACGTTTTATAAAAACCATAGTAACTTCATGATTGAAAACTTATTGGATATCACTATAATTAGAAGTTCCATTAGGACAATGGAAAATTTATATATATTTATAGCCTGAAATATACTAACTAATAAATTAATCACTCAAAAGACTTATAAACATTATGCTGAACGATTGCTTTAAAATTAAGAATAACTTACTTGACTCTTTTGCTCCTTTGCGAAAGGAATCATAGAGAGTTTTCGTATCATCTCGAATACAGCTTATAAAGTGCCCTTGTTTACTTTCCGTGAAAAATTTAGAAATATGGATATATTCAGCACCCTGTAATTTACGATATAAAAGTTATTTATTATCATTTATATCCGAATATAAGTATACCAATTCCAAATATATACAAGTTTTTCATTAGCCCAAAGTCAGGGATACATCAGCTTCAAATTTATAATATTATTTATACTGAAAATGAACCCAACGGTTCGATATTCAACATAAGAAAAGGTACTATTGAAAAATAAACTTTCTCGTGTACAGAATATGTGAGTAATATCTGAAATTGGAAAGAAAATGTATTTCTGGCTTTTTAAAAGTGAAGAGATATTAAAAAGCTTGCTGGTTTTTATCATATTGTAATTTGCAAAAAGATCAGTATAGAATTTAGTGTAGACTTCGTTCGTTAGAGTGACAGATGAGGCTATAAAATACAAGAGTGTTTTTATGTATTTAGACCTACTGATTACAAATCTTGAGAAAAGGCAAAAAATAGACAAGTAACAAGTTATCAACAATTTAACTGTTTTGTAACGGAATTGATGAAACCAACAATTTAATTAAATTTTTGCTCGACGCCGTCCACGCAATATTTAAAAGTGATGAACTCGGCAAGCACGAATGTGTTAATCGCGCGCGAAATACCGGAAGGAAGGATGCGAAAAAGGATTAAGTTGCAATGACACTCGCAACGTATCAACAATCGGATTTAATCCTATTCTCAAAATATCAAAGGAAATAAAAAAAATACATATAAATACTAGGCGGAGTGTGTCCACTCCATCTAATATCAAACAGTGGTCTAATACATGAAATCTACTCAATCGGATTATCTAACGGATTATCTAACGATTATCTAACGGATTACTAACGCTTGATAATCCAATTGAGGCACGATCATGCGCGAGACCTCAGACCTGGCACGGGTCATTTATTGTAAAAGTAAACAGAAATTAACATACGTCTTAAATCTATCACAAATCCCAGTACGCAACCTTGTGCTGAGCTCATCGCAAAGACAGAGACCAGCAGCGGTCAACAACCAACTTTTGAGCAGCGGAAATATCCGTTACAATGTTAAGCTACTAAATGGTGTCATAATAGATACATTGAACAAATGTGTTCTATTTCATATAAGTCAAGCTAGCTGAGTTTCTATTTGATTGAAATCATAAAATACAAAACGTCGAGTGATCGGATTGATAATCAATACTGAATGTTATTATCAAGCATATTCGAAAGAGGGCGCTGCGGTAATACTAATTCGAAATTTAAAAGTATATATATACACTATTTTATAGAATAAAATTTATCAAAAACAATGGAATCAGGAAAAATTATTTATGATAATTTAAAGAGAAAACATTAAAAAATTTTAAAATATGATATTTTTTTTTATTATTGGCCTTTAATTTTAGATTAACCCATTAATACCCAAGCCGAATCTGGTAGAGATAACCTTGAAATAACTATTGAGTTCATGTTATAGCTCAAAAATAATTTACACGTGTTTTTTCTTTTTGCATTTCCAATTGTTTATAAAAAGTTATTTAAACAAATTGACCAAAGTTTTAGTTTTTTGAAAAACTATTTACAGCAATCGGTTCTACGGGAAAAACCAAGGCGAAAACCTCTGTAGCGTTTTTTTGTCAGACTTGATTTTGTTGGTGTAATTTCGTTATAAACAATTTGAAACTGAGAAGTGATGCTGACCTCGTTGTATCCCAAGCCGAATCTAGTCGAGATAGCCTTGAAATAACTATTGGGTTCATGTTATAGCTCAAAAATAATTTACACGTATTTTTTCTTTTTGCATTTCCAATTGTTTATAAAAAGTTATTTAAACAAATTGACAATCGATTCTACGGGAAAAACCAAGGCGAAAACCTCTTTAGCCTTTTATCATACAATTGTAATTAGAAATCATAAACCAGTTTCCATCATTTGAATTTGACGAACCGAATGTGAACTAAAAATAACTTGAAAAAGATTTTTTACGGTTGTACTGAAATAACCACACCATCAGTAGAAATTCCTCATAATTTTATAATTCTTTCTAATTTTCATTCCTATCTTCATTTCAAATGTAAATCGACTAAATAGTTCGGTGTCATATACTATTTCGACGATAGCTTGTCACTCAGTGAAATAGAAGACCATTCTATTATATTGAATAAATTACTGATTTTGTTCTTTTTATATACTTCAATATAAAACGGTAATACCGTGATGAAGCGAAGAATTGCTGATTTGAATGAGATGGTTCACGGTGATGATATAGATGGTGACCATCATGTTGATATTGCATTTCTTCCAACAGAGCATGAGAGCTCAGATGAAGGTTCAAGTAATGAAGAAGAAGAATATACTTTACTTCGGCCGCTTCCTACAGGATCGTATGAACATATAAAGAGTTCTTATACTAGTGACCAGAAGTTACTAGAACCGAATCATAAGTATGATTGGCGTGATAATGCTTTGAATTATGACGATCTTCCAGATGATGACTATGATCTTTCATCTATTTCATCATTTTACTCAAAAAGTTTTTTGGAATTGTTTGAACTCTTTTTTTTTCTCAATCAATGAAAAACTTTATTATAGAAGCTACTTTCGAAAACCACTTTGAATTGACCAATGATGATTTAGACCGATTCATCGTGATCATTACGATTACTATAGTCAATTCTAGGAAAAAGCAGTCTGACTATTGGTCCAACAAACGATTTTGCAGTGTCCAATAGTAAAAGAACTTATGCCAAAGGGAAAATTTGTAAAAATAAAAAAAAAACATTAGGTTTCATAAACTTCAAGACAAAGATGAAAAAGATAAAGTCTGGAAAGTCAGATACTTATTTGAATTATTTAGGGAAAATTGTATGAGATATGGATTTTTTTATTATAATTTGTCAATTGACGAAGTTATGGTCAAATATTTTGGAAGATTTAGCATCAAGCAATGCATTAGGAACAAACCTATAAGATTTGGGATAAAGTTATGTGCACTATGTTCTTCAGATGGATATATATATGATTTAGATATATATACGGGCAAGTTTGGTACTGAATCTGAAAATCCTTTAGCTTCTGTTTGTTTGGGATCGAGAGTGGTTATCAAATTACTTCAAAGATTCCTGGAGACGGTTAAAAATGAAAATCTGGCAAAATATCATTTGTTTTTTGATAACTTCTTTACATCTCCAGATCTCATGATTCACTTAAGAAATATTGGATTATCGGGTACAGGAACTGTTCGTCAAAATCGCGTCAAAGCAAAAATCGATATGTCAAAGAAAGCTGATAGAGTAACCACTATCTCAGTTCATGAAGCCAATTCAAAACTGAATTACATAACGGTGATGGACTCAAAACCCGTAACAGTTCTCTCAACTAAATACTGAGATGAACCGAAATTTGAAATGAAAAGCTGGCATAATAAAACTAAACAAAAAATTCTCTTTCCTCAAGCTTTCTCAATGTATAAAAGGCACATGGGTGGAGTAGACTTACACGACCAGCATTGTAATGCACTTATGCCTACAATCCGAAGCAAAAAATGGACGTGGTGTCTCTTCATGAGACTTATTCAAGCTTCATTAGCTAATACTACTGTTATTTACAATAAACTCCATCCAGATGAGAAGTAAAGTTCAAAAGATATTGTGGAGGAAGTTTGTGAATATTATATTCAAAAACTCGAAAATACTCATCGACCCAAACGACAGAAAAAAGTTGAAACTCCGACAGAGGAACATCATATAAAGGTTGGGAAACGTAGAAAGTGTGACAACGAAAATTGTTCAGTATTGACTGAATATTGTTGTTCTAAATGTGATATTTATTTTTGCAAAACTCACAGAGAAAATCATTCGTAATTGTTTTTAAGGATCTGTTTTGAAGAAAGTAGTTCTTTTACCCATAATGATTAACAAAAACAGTTGGGTCGAGAAAAATAATGTTAGAGACGTCTTTGTCAGCATCACTTCTCAGTTTCAAATTGTTTATAACGAATATACACCTACAAAATCGAGTCTGACAAGAAAATCTTATAGAGGTTTTCGCCTTGGATTTTCCCGTAGAATCGATTGCCGTAAATAGTTTTTCAAAAAACTAAAACTTTTGTCAATTTGTTTAAATAACTTTTTATAAACAATTGGAAATGCAAAAAGAAAAAACCAATGTAAATTATTTTTGAGCTATAACATGAACCCAATAGTTATTTCAAGGCTATCTCTACCAGAATCGGCTTGGGTATTAATGGGTTAATGACCATTATATTTTCAAATTATTTGTGAGCATAAAACAAAAATTTTTTTTAAATAAAAAAGAAGAATTTTTGACACAAATTCAGATGTAGAGTCGTCTGTGGTACGCTGTATGCAGTAAAAGATTTCTTTTTATTAATGAATAGATAAGCAATGTATGTCCTGGGACACAAAGAGGCCACCCGATGAAGGTGTCGTGGTATCGCGCTATCACTCTCTATCCCTCTCTCTCGCTTTCGTAGCATTTCTGGCTTGAGGTGCGCTGACTAAACTATATGTTAGCTAGGTGCATTCCTAATAGTAAAGGTACTTTTCTCTCTCTTTCTCTAGTATTTGTTACGATTTATCTATGAATTCAAATTATATAAAAGCTTTTCCCCACTTTTTCGTATGACTATCTCCTCTTCAGCCCACACCGCTGAAACCGCTGCTTACAGCACCACCATAGTCCTTAAAAACCGCGCTCGACTGGAAAAGAACACAGTCTTTCCAGACGGCCCGATTCACTAGCTTCCTTAGCAGTGACAAACAGTATTAGTAGCAGTAGTAGTAGTAGTTGTAGTAGTAGTAGTAGCAGTAGTAGTAGTAGTTGTAGTAGTAGTAGTAGCAGTAGTAGTAGTAGTTGTAGTAGTAGTTGTAGTAGTAGTAGTAGCAGTAGTAGTAGTAGTTGTAGTAGTAGTAGTAGCAGTAGTAGTAGTAGTTGTAGTAGTAGTAGTAGTAGCAGTAGTAGTAGTAGTAGTAGTAGTAGCAGTAGTAGTAGTAGTTGTAGTAGTAGTAGTAGTAGTAGCA